GGGATGATAAAATAGTTCGCTTTGTCATGTCCTGTGTGAAAGCGGGTAGGAATGGAGAACATGGTCCCCATTCGACTCTTATTTTCATGTGTTAAATTTAAATCAAATTTAAAGAATAATAAATAAATAATACAAAATGATAAATTAAGATGAATCATGCTACATGTACAACATTGGTTGACAACATCCTATTTGACATTATCATATCCATTCATTTTAAAAAATTGTTTTCTACATTACATACTAGGATTTTGACAACACATGATTGTCAACATTGATATCAACCAATATTGTACAATTAGATTTATTCAATTGAGATACCTTAAAATCTTTCGTCCGTCCTCGTCTTGCCTCTCTTAAATCCCGACCGGACAGGAAATGAGGTTGCCCCATCCTCGAGCCTTTAACCCTAGGTCCTTTTTCTTTTTGGCCTGATGGTCGAGCCAAATTTTTGGAAATTTGATAAATATATGTTATAAATGCATCGTGTACGTCTATAAATACAAATATTTCCATCAGGTAATTCAGTTGAAGAATTGCCGGCATCGCAATGTCATTACATACAGAGCTGCGAGTAATTCTCGCTCTTCTGTTTGCACCACTGATTACATTCTCTCACCTTTCACCCCCACCCATCCCACATTTTATTATATTTCAATTTCAATTCATTCCATTTTCTTGTATTCCTGTTTTCCCATTTATCTCAGTTTCTTGAAATTCTACCTGCCCACAACAAATTCTTTCTGAATCGAAGAATCAACTTTAATGCAGCATTAGTATCTGTGCCGAGGTTTGTGTTTTTCCAAAATTCTTCATAATTTATTTGTCTTTTCAATTTTCAATGCAACTTGGTTTCTTGGATTTTTAATAATCTTATTTAAGTTCCATTTAAAAATTCAAACCAAATATTACGTAATGTAGAACATTTTCAATCTTGTTCAGAGAAAGTGCAAGAATTTTGATTCTTGATATGAAAGGTTCTTGATTAGCCCCATTAAAAGTTTATCTTGATCTTATTCGTATTGGCTTTTATTCATGCTTTCTTCTGTTTTCAAAACTAATATGGCATGTTGAACAGATTGGAGTGGTGAAAAAGAATTCACGTTATCGGCTCATTTGTTGAAATGAAGCTTGTTTTGTTGTTTTTGTTCACGTATTCTTATTCTTCTGTTGTCCTAGTTTGTTGTATTCGTGTTCTTCAGCTTTCTTATTATCGTTTTAGCATTTAAGGTTTTTTTTTAATATATATAATTGATGATAATTGAAATTTGCTGTTCTTGGAAAATAAATTTTAGGAGCAGGGAAGGGTTCGATACCTGGAAAAATGTCACAAGGACAAACACCACTGCAAAAACCACCTGGATACAGGGATGCTTCAATCCCAATTCAGAGGCCGCAGCCACTGCCACCACGAAAAGCCGCCGCCCTGCCGTCATCATTCTACCAAAAGAAGCGGCGAAACTGGTGCAGGACGTGTTGTTGCTGCACTTGCATTGTCCTTGTTCTGTTAATCCTCTTGATCATTGCTGCTGGTGCCTTTTTCTATGCCTGGTTTGATCCAAAGCTGCCTGTTGTCCACCTAAAAACCATCAAATTCACCAAATTCAATGTAACTAACACCGACGCGGGACCCGCATTGGATGCGCAGTCGAGTCTCGACATCGAGATAAAGAATCCAAACAAACACTTTGAGTTGGAATACGATAAGACAAGGGTGGTTTTGAATGCGGGAAATGGTGAAAATTTGGGGGAACAAACTTTGCCTGGATTCACACAAGGGAAAAACAATGTGACAACTTTGAAGTTTACAATCAAGGCAAGTCAAGAACTTTTGGCAAAAAAAGATGCTGATATGATAATTAATGGATTCAGGAACAAGAATTTGGTGGTGAGTCCAGAGGTGAGGACTGGAATTGGATTGAAAGGGAATGGATGGAAAACTGGGATAGTTCAAGTGGATGTGATTTGTGCTGGTTTGACATTGAATCAGATTCAGAATAGCGCTACGCCCGAATGCCACATTAAGTTGCTCGACTGGTAAAAACTCGAAAAACTATAATACCCAAGACACTATGCTAGTTATTAACACTTGTAGCTTGTTTGATAAGGTCGAGTCTTGACCAGAAACACCTACCAAATCTGTCTTGAAACAATATGCTAATTGCAAATCCTTTACCCTCATGGCTTGTTTAGTCATGTCTAGTCTTTTCTGATAACTCATGCTGATTATGTCATCAATAACTACGCTAATTAAAAAACCTTGTGAGTTGTTCAATAAAATTGAGTCCTATCATGTAATCCATACCAAATGTCCCGATAACGTATGTTAATTAGAAACCTTGGTTGCTTAGAAACCATCACAGCTTGTATGTGAATTAGACGTGTTTTTAATGATCTTCTAGTCATTGTTTTATAATCTTATTTTGTTTATCGATTGATTGCAGGGTATACATATACTGATCGATTATTGCTCAAATCTCGATTATTGCTCAAATCATATCGATCTTCATAAGGAATGCTTATCAGTAACATAGATTGGCAGATCTGCAGGAGTCGGAGGAAGGCCTAAAGTTGCGATTGGACAACATTAAACAACTTTATCATATTCACACATAGTTAACAATGACACAATACAATTTATTACAAGTTAATTAGTATTACAAGAAAGTTGCATTTTCTCGTGTCTATATTGTCTTGTCTGTTGTTGCACGACAAATTTTATAACAGTTTATATACTGTTGGGATTATGCCCCAAATTAAGTTACCATATATGAGGAAGGAAAACGTGGGGAACAAGTTT